GAAATGTTGAGTGCTGGGCGGGCCCGACCTCCGCCGACAAGGCGTGGTGAGAACCCTGACATAGGATACATATTATTTAGATAAAAGCAGAGGGCTATGCAGGTCACTAGGACCTTAGTACAATTAATGTCCCTATACCCCAGGATACATAGTTAGGTAAGGACAAAGGTATGCAGGTCACTACGACTTTAGTGGATTAACATCCTTGTCCAGGATTCATAGTCCGTTAGTGTATGTGTATGCAGGTCATTAGGACCATAGTGGATTAACATCCCTACTTTAGGTGCATAGTCAGTTAGTGCAGGGGGTATGGGGGCCAATAAGACCTTAGTGGAGTAATGTCCCACTTACGTTCTTTTTATTTTCTATTTACTTTTTTAATGAAAAATATTTTTGAAAGAATTTACTTTAATGGAAAATAAAAATTTAAAATCTCGAATAGATTAGCTCAATTGGCTTCATCTCCTCAAGAAAAAGCAAATCTTAAATTGAAGTCCCCACTTTAGTTTGCAAAGGTAGCCTTGAAAAGAAGCCCATTGAAGATAGTACAGTACATACACTGTACATGAATTTAAAAAAAAGAAAATAAAATGAATTATAAATATATTAAGTATATAATGTTTTATACAGTAGTTGTGATTTAATGCCGGTTAACACTCTATGACAGATTGATGTTAAAGTGGCCCTATTAATTGTTGTATTTTATAGTAGTAATTCCCAAAATTTACAGCATTCATTTTGAAAAGCAGCCCCCCCCCCTTTATTTTGCAAAAGTAGCCTCGAAAATAAGACCATCTCGAAAAGAAGCCGTCCAAAGTTGGCAAAGAAGACAGAAGCAGCCAGGTCTTCAATTCAAGGTTCGGTATCGTATCATATACAGTATTGTATTAATTCTTTGAAAAATAATTATTAGCAATGAATTTTATTTTTATATACTGTGTATAACCATTAAAATAAATTCAATCAATCAATTAAGAACACACTATGAATTGCATACTTTGATCAATATTTAAAATCTAATAGTCTAAACTTACGAGGCAAGCCGTCTGTGGAGCTCTGTGTACCTTGCCTTCAGTTGTGCCACCTTGGTTCCTGTTAGCTTCCCTTGTTGAAAAAGCTAAATAAAATTAGAAGAAACAGTTTAGTTTTCATTTTTTTAAATTGCAAGGATCACAAATTTTTTTAAAGTCATTTTCAGGGCTGGGAAAAGTGCGCGCGATCGGTGGTCAAAGGCATCATGAGTTTACAGGAGACATAATTTGGGAGAAAAAAAAATTTAAAAAATAAACTGTTGAGCTACATAATTTACAGATAACATTTGGTGCTGGAATTTATCGAGACAATTTTTTTAGTTGGAGGCGCAAACATTCCTTTTTTCAGGCCTCGCCACTTTACAGCTGGTTTTTATTATCCACAAGGCAAACAATTCTATTTCATAATTTACAAATTTTTCAGCTGCTGAAAAAAAATTAAAATAAAATGGTGAAATATGATGGAAAACGACAAAAAACTAAGTGTGCACCTTTTAAAATATCAAGCCAAATAGCCTACATGTTTTTATTATCCACAAGGAAAACCCTTTTATTTCATAATTTACAAATTTTTTAAGCTGATAAAAAAAAAAATAATAAAATGGTGAACGAAAATGACAAAAAACTAAGTGTGCACCTTTTTATAAAACAATACCATGAGTACATGTGAACAGAGCCATTACTAAAGTACGGTATGTACCCTGACAATTCAAGATCCCTCAAATTCAAAACCACTTTTCAAAGAACCAAATAAAAATCCTCAACCTTATTTAAACACAAAGTTAATCTTCTAATTCATGGAGAACTAACCCACGAGACAACTTCAAATTTCAAATTGGAGGTGAAAACTGTGTATTGAAAAAGCAATTCTCAACTGAAATAAAAAGTATAATTAGCTTCAAGTTACCACGCTCTATACTCGTACACAAAACATGTTTCCTTTTTTTATTGTTGAGAAGATCAATAATATTTTATAAATTACTGGCAAAAAAAAAAATATTTTAGTGTTTAAAATGTATTATTAATAAACCTGACTATAAGAAGAATCACAAATTAAATCTCAATTTTTTGCCAAGTAATAAATACATTCAATCCAGAAGGTCATCAGTCTTTTGTTAATTTATTATAATACATTTTTGCAAAGAATAGCATTTGTTTTAATAAATAATGAGGTAATGATATTGACATTTCATTTCATAGTCTTCTATTTAAATATTAACTAAATAATGAAAACAAACGGTTAATTATTATTGAAATAAGAAATTGGAAAATACTGTGCAGTTAAATATTATCATCATAAAAATTTTATTAGTCAGTTGCACTCAGAAATTGATACTATTGTCTACATATACTTTTGTGCATGTACAATACAGGCAGAGAAAAATATACTACGCAAGAACAAATACCGTATGAGGTAGTAAAACAAGTATAACATGGTTTGTAGGACAAAGGCGTATTTGAAGTACAATATTTTATGATATTCCATTGCTCTTTAAACCTGAATTTTAATAAATTTACTTAACCTTTTATTTTATCGATAGCTGCGTGTAAAGCACTGTGGTCTCTTTTGAAAAGGGCGCCTAATAAGTGATTAAATTAATAATATTATTAATATTAATTCTATTAATAATATTATTATTAATATAGATAGTAATATTATTATTATTATTATTATTATTATTATTATTTTAGAAGGGCGCCGATTAAATTATTGTTGTGTATTATCATGTAACACCTTGTAAGTACAATTTACTAGTTTCTCTCAAACCATTTTTATTTACTAAAGGAAGATGGGTAAATATTGACTTGTTAAACACTGGATAAATTAATGTTTAATTTTGTTGTATGAGAGTATTAAAGTTTGATTTTAAAAATTGATTTTAATATTGATTGACTACGAATATAGTAAATAAGATACCTCATCAAGACACTGGAAGGCAGGACTTGCGGACACTTCAACTTGACCCTCCTCTTGCAGGAACACTTTTGGGGCCACAGGAGCAATGGCCCTTTGTTTATGTGTCTCATCATCTTTACTATCTTGGCCTTCACTCATTATTCTATCTAAAGAGAGGTAAAAGCAGGCTTATAATAATAACAGTATTAATAATAAAAACAACATCAACAATAAACAATCAATAACTATAGAATTAATAATAATTAATAACAATAATAATAATTAATAAGAATAATAACAATAATAATAATAATAATAATAATAATAATAATAATAATAATAATTTTTTATTTAATTATTTATTACGGTATAAAATATAATACACAGCAATAACTGAGAGCTAAATATGCTTGTATTACAAAATAGAAAAATATATCCAAAACGTAGAAAAATATATAAATATAACAGAAAAATATAAATCAAATTACTAGTGAAGAACCATTACATATTTACAATTTACATCAAAATTATAACATACAGTACATACACAATATAAGGCCGAATGTAAAAAAACAATCTGGATTAGCTTTATAAAATGCAACAACAATAATAATAATAATAATAATCTACCTGTAATAACACTAGCAAATACAAAAGTAGTAAAATGACAACAACAATATTGAAAAGCCAAAAAAAAACAAATTTTTTTCAGTCCAATATAAACATTTTTGTCATAAAATTAAATGATTCGCCAATAATGCAAATTTTAGCTTTTATTATTCCATGTATTTTACCACGTTCAAATAATAATCACTTTATATTTCACTTCAAGTAAAAAATTAAAGAATGTACAGTCTGTAGGATGAAAAAGAAAAAAAAAAAAAAAAAAAAATAGCAAGGTAGGAATACAAATAGACAAGTTTCATACATTTAGACAACTTTAAAAAGGTAAGGTGGTTACAAGAAAAAACATTATCATCAGCAATATAGGCCTAAATAGAAAAAAAGACAAGAGACTTAGGTTAGGCAACCAATAGGGTAAGTAAAAAGGTTAAACATGAAGGAGAAAATTATTGAGAGATTTGTTCTCTAATATTAATAACGATGATATTGTCTATTGATAATAATAATAGAAATAATAATAAAAATAGTTTATTCTCGCTTGATGTCGCCAAATCTAGCAAACTGCTATCCTTTTTAATTGTATAGGGCCTCGGTCTACAGAATATTAATCACAGCTTGTCAACTACACCCGCGAACGAACAAAATTTCTTCTTCGATCGTTGCTAAAACACACTCCAGCAGCAGTGCACTGAATGACGTTTTGACGTTTCTATTGGCTAATCATGACGTAATATCATTTATTTACTGTACCTTTAGCAATCGGAAGTTCCGATACGGTACCGTATCTCTAGCCACGGCGTTAATATAGGCCTTGATTATATTCATCAACTTCGTTTTCAATTTTGGCCTCCTTCCTATACAAACAGTAATAGTTGAAAATAACAGTCTTCATGTGAATTCCTGTGACGGGGATGGTCTTCATCATGTGAATTCCCATAATTTGCATTCTTGTCCTGCTTTCAATGTGCCTTTTAGTAGAGTTGATGTTTTCTTTCTAGGATTCCATTGCAATTTAGGCCTAGGCCTAGTTTTTTTTTTTTTTTTTTTTTAGGACTCTTGTACTTTGCAATTTATAAGCAATTAGATTTTGTTTGTTTATCCAGGACCTGGCGAAATGACTTTGACTGTAGGCCCCCTAGGCCTAAAAATAAACCTAGGCCTAGGTCAGAAATAATGAACACATCACATTCCTAGATATGGCCTATCCCAGGCCCCATGGCTACGCTTCCGTCTGTGTGACTTTGCTTGAACAGGGTTGATGATAGATAGTCAGGTGCTCCCCTAGTCTAGGCTAGGCCTACCTAGGGCCGCCCTAGGCTAGGCTAGGCCCACCTAGGGCCGCCCTAGGCTAGGCCCCTAGAGTGCTCCATCTGCTGCTGAACTTTCTCACAAAATAAACGTTATATTACCAAAAAACAGCCGGCCTACATTAACCTTAACTTGAACGTCGACAAACTATCTTCCAATAGAGAATTATCAATTTAAATAATTGTAATGTTTTCAATTTAAAACAATTGATGCAAATAAAAACGAAGTAACTTGCCTGAAATTCTTGATCAATAAACTTTACACTGATTTTCTCTCATGCATTCAGTTACCAGGGAACGCGAGCATCAACTTCTATAAAATGTGTATGTCCATTGGACAGTTCCACTGTTAGGTTGGTGTATCGTCCAATCACAATAAGTTTAATTAAATGCATTGCCATACATAACATTCTCAAACAATTTTATATAATAAGTTGTCAAATATTTAATATAATAGGATACAAAAAATCTCAAATCAAGTAATAAATTATATTTTGAATAAAAATAGTATTTGTAATAGATATGAGTGTTTACTTAACTTTTAAAGGCAAAAATTGCAAATTAAGTTTCATAAACTACTATGAGCCTGAACCACCATTTTACGCTCGCATGTGTGATCTGTTTAAATTTTGACGATCGGATTTTAATACTTAATTGCTAATAATTACTGAAAATGAAGATTGAAGAAGTAAAAAGTACCACAAAAACTCAAAGAATTGCCTCACACAGTCATGTAAAAGGACTAGGGTTAGATGAAAATGGCATAGCTATTCCAACAGCCGCAGGACTGGTTGGCCAAGAAATGGCCCGCGAGGTAAAAACAATTTCTCGGCTCTCTACTTACTTGTGTCTGCTCTAGCTAGGCCTAGGCCTAGTTAGAATAGGGGCCTAGGCCTAAGCCATAGGCTTTGACTAGGATAGGCTTAGCCTGAACTAGGGTAGACAAGCTGTTTTTGCGAGAAACGCTAGACTAAGACTACTTGCCTAGGCAGCTTAGCCTTAAGTAGGCCTCTAGGCCTAGTATTTAATGTAGCTAATCGGAAGCAGGTCAACTCTGCTAGCCTCTTTCTTTAGTTGCATAAGTGGAGTATAATTGTGGAAAGAAACGTTTCCACATATTTATTGCCATGGTACTCTTAAGGTGAAGATGACACAAGGTTTGTGATTTCTTGTTTGTTCTATTTCCATTTTTGTTAAATTATTGCAAAGACAGAAGTAGGTCAGATGCTAAAATAGACGACTAGCTATTTCAAGGTACAAACACGTACGCTGAAGCGCAGTTCACCACTTCACGTGTGTTCACCTACTTCATGAAACCAGTAATTTTGAATAGTCTGCGCTGGCTGCTGATCATGTTTATAAAAGAACTGCGCAGGGGTATTCAAGATTTCAAGTGAATGATAATGTACATATTATTCATTTATTTCTTCGTGTTTCCTTCAATTCTCTTGGTATTTTTTATCCAAACTCTGGAAGCTGCAAGAAAAATAAATATATTTATTGTATAAAATGATCAGTTTAAATATTGAATGATTATTGTTTTAACTAAATTATGAAATAGATTTCAGATGGGAACAATATTCAATTCAATTAAAATCAAAGATACATTTTATTGACCATTTATTAAAGTATAGTATATGAAAACCCAACAAAAAGAATAGCATGAAGCACATACTAAATTCCATTGTTTCAATTACAAGATCATGTTGCAATCATGAATATATCACCGTAAATGGAAGAAAGAGAATATAGCAGAAAGATATTTTGTTAGTGGAAAGATAGCAAAACAATAATACTTAGGCCTATGATAAACCGATTCACGAACTAAAATATATAGGGCCTAGGCATACTAAATTTTTCGTTTTCGCAACTCCTTCGGCGCTCCATATATTTGTTCGAAATAAACCGCGCCAGAAACGAAGCGCGACCAAAATGATCGGCTACCGTCAACTCGACCCCATGTCAACTCGGCCCCAAGTCAAGTCGTTTAAGTTGGAAGGGAAGCAGGTCAACTCGGCCACAAGTCAACTCGGCCACAGTCAAATCGGCCACAAGTCAACTAGGCCACAAGTCAACTAGGCCACAAATCAACTCGACCACAAAAAGTTCGGCTGCAGTCAACTCGGCCACAAGTCAACTCGGCCACAAATCAACTCTGCCACAAGTCAACTTGGCCACAAGTCATTTACTACACTTTGAAGGAGTATTACTATACTTATTGTTATTATTGCTGTTATTATTGTTGTCAATGTTGTTATTATTGTTGTTTTATTACCGTTAGTTTTAATGTTATTTATTAGTCTTAGCATTAACATTATATATTGATCAAATTTTTGCTGATATTATTATTATTATTATTATTATTATTATTATTATTATTATTATTACCATATATAAATAATAAATAATTTTTGATTTATTATTATTATTATTATTAATATTTATTAGTCTAATATTATTATCTTAATAATAGTAATTTAAAAAGTTATTGTTTATTGGTGTTTTATTTGTATTTTTCTCATATTATTATTATTATAATATTATTGTTGTTGTTGTCACCTTTATTATCGATATACCTTATTATTACTAAGTAGGACTAGTATTATAAGTATCATTATTATTATTACTAGTTAGTATTACTATTATTATAAAAATAAACATTATCTTTAATTTATTACTATTTGTTAAAATAAATATTAATATTAATGTTGTTGTTGTTATCACCTTTATTATCGTCATGATGACTATTAGTATTATTAAAGTAAATATTACTAATTTATTGTCGTTATTTTTGTTTAATATTATTTTTAAAGTAGAATGTTGTGAGCAAACAGAAGACGAACACATTAATTAATAACTTTTTAATTCATAGCATTCAAATCTCTTTTGGTAGTGTGGTGGTCCTGTTTTACTAAAATATACTGTGTACTTTATTTCAATATATTGAAAAGGATGGAAAAACTGAGATTTACATTTGATTTTAATTATAAATAAATTGTGGCCGAGTTGACTTGTGGCCGAGTTGATTTGTGGCCGAGTTGATTTTTGGCTGAGTTGACTTGTGGCCGAGTTGGCTGTAGCCGAACTTTTTGTGGCCGAGTTGATTTGTGGCCGAGTTGACTTGTGGCCCAGTTGACTGTGGCCGAGTTGACTTGTGGCCGAGTTGACCTGCACCCTGGTATTGTTGAGTGACAGACTTCAGTCCTTCATATTTGTTCGACCATTGGGGCTATGTTTGAAACCCGTCAGTGACAAGGATGCATCCATCCAATGACGTGAATCACCAGTGACATGTCGGTCCTTTTCAAATATTTACTTTAATAATACTAATTAGCCATAATAACGATAGTAAAGGTGATAACAACAACAATATTAATAGTAATATTTATTTTAACAATATTAATAGTATATGGTAATAATAACGATATTTACAGGGCTTGAAATTAAGGGTTGTTTGGTCTGATTTTTTAAGGTGCGACAAGGATTTCAACTTTGTCACGCTCAGTGCGACAAGGTCATTAGATAGCGTGAGTAGATTTTGTAAGCGGCAGGAAGCTGGTGGTTTCCCTCCAAATCCCCCAAAAATGACTGGTTTATGAAAATTAAAGTAATGTATATGCATATTTTTCCAAAAAAATGTCATTTTTTAGGAAATTTGTAGACACTGTGTCTTTTATCTTAGGGCTTTGCAGAGCGTTTTACTTTGTATTTGATTTGTACGTCCCCATACAACATGGCAGTATTCAAGGTGCCATTGGTTGCTTAAGCACTAATAAGCATGAATAAAACGTTTCAGAATACATGTATAATATATTGAATAAATACGAGTTATACATTACTAATAATATGCCTGACAAATTTTTGGCGTATGCGCACTATATTTGGCAGGTAATGTTTATACAGGCGGATCGATATTGGACCCAGGCACGATTTATTTTTAGTAGGATATATATTTGCATGAAACTCCACCCAGGTCACATTTTTAGGTACACGTCGTCATGTGTGTTTGAAATGATACTGTTGCTTACAGTTGCCATACTGTATCATGGCTACTGAATCAACCCAAACACGCGTTCTTCTCTGGACGGCACCTCGATGCATGGCTACTGCGTTTACGCGCTCAATTAATACACTCGATGATTCTGTGGTTTTTCACGAGAACTTTAAAGCTGCATATTTCTATGGACCTAAAGGGAATCAAACGAACCTATTTAGCTTTGCTCCCTACCATACGTATGACTATGTGAAAGCCTTACTTCAACAGGAAATGCCAGGCAAGAGGGTACTTTTTGCAAAGGATTTTGCTTACGCATTGCAAGGGAAGTTTGAAAAGATTCCGGACGGTTATATTCACACTTTTTTAATCCGGAATCCAACAAAGGTATTCATGTCACTACGTAACCATTATAAGATTAAGAGCCCTTTCTTTGGTGATGAAATGCAAAAGTATCAACCGACACTTGAATTATATTTCGTGGACCTGTGGAAGCTTTATATGCACATCACAGATGATCTCAAGAAACCTACCCTCGTTATTGATGTTGATGACTTCTTGCAAGATCCTGAAGTAATGATGAAAATTTATTGTCAATCAACTGGCATACCGTTTCGAGCATCGATGTTGTCATGGGAACCGTGTAGTATATGGAATGTGGATTGGCAATGTAGCACCTTTTTAAAATATGTTACGTGGTGGCAGGGTTGGTATAAGAACGCTTTCAATAGCAATGGATTTGGAAAATCCAAAAGAAAGACCAATTATACTCAAGAAGATACAATGCTACCAGCAGACATCAGACAACTTGTGGAAATCAGTGAACCGTATTATAAATTACTGTATGATGAAAGAATAACAATTTGATTTCGGTATCAATTTCCAGTATGGTAGAGCCGGCTTGTGTACTTTAATGTATAATAAAATCTCTATAATTGTTAAACGGACAAACTTCATCGTGTTTAGAACCCAGAAGAAGCAATCTGAAAAAAAAAAATCATAAAAATCATTTTTGATAGAAACACTTCCAGTCACTGGAAGTGTTTTATTATCTTTATTATAATTATCCAGTTAAAAAAATCAGGGAACACATTCTTTTAATTTAATAATTTCTATGCTCAAGTTAATAATTTGTTAATAATTAAAGTTAATTTAAAAGTTGTTTTTATGATTTTGGTCATTTTCAAGGGACAGTACGGTACATCTTTAAAGTATATTTAACAGTTAAAAGCATGGTCAGAATATGAAACATATTTAAAGAAATTATTATTATTATTTAAAGAATGTGAAAATTAATATACACAAGAAGCAAAAAGAAACAGTTTAAAATGAAATCAAATTTTTGAAGGAATTTAATGAACTGGGTGTATCTGGGGGAAGATACCAAATATACGGTATGTTCCAAAAGGCTAACTAAGCGGTATTTTAATGTTTTTCCCCCAAATTTGTTGCTATTGTCAAGTGGGCTATTGCATCATTGATACTCTCGTTTTTATATATTTTGGCCTACTCTGGTTTCTAGGCCTACTTTGGTATCTAGGACAAGTCACCCAAACTAGGCATATTTTAGCCTATCGCATCGTACTGCTGCTCAGCATAGCATAACTGGTTTCAATATCAGCCCATCACGTATTCAGTGAATGGCAGCAGGAGCGTAACTTAAAATTTGCTGTTCTTTCGAACACGTGGTGAATAGCTAGATTTAACAGTGTAATGGAAGCGTTGCTTCCAAGAGTATGTGCACATGTTCCTCTTCGCGCTGTTTCTCTCTGCAGTGGCCTGCATATATATGTTTTCTACATATTATAGTCACTGTGATATAGTAGATTCCAAAATATGTTAACCAATCCGCTAATGTGTCATATTTTTTTCCCCTGGACCACTTTAGAAATGCCCAGGTCTCTATTTGCAAGAGATGGCAATACAAAGCCCTTAATCTCAGTTTAGTAAATATTGTAACAACAAGCTGTTTGTCTTGCCTTATCCGACATCAAACAAAAAATTTGGAAATGAGATGCTGATGATAGCATATATATATAAACAGGGCTTGAAATTAAGGGTTAAGTGTAGGTTTCAGTTCTTTGATCCAAAGCATTTCTTTAATTAAGTAATCAAACTTGGATTTGCACTTCGATAAAACCTTGAAATAATTAACAGTTTCAGTAGCACTAATATAATGATCTTTTAAGTGTTGTCCTATGTTACCTTTACTGTGCATAATCATTTCTTATTTAAAATAGAATTATTTAATCAATCAGTAACTTGTGTTTTTTTTTTAATGAAAGTAATGATTTTCTTTAAAAAGATGCTACCCAAGGCGAGACTTTTTTTTATACCTTGTTTGACGAACTCGCTGACTATCGTACATTTTACTGTACTGTATAGATGTATTCCTACTAAAAAGTTTCTAATACTAATTTAACAACATCTTTTTTAACGCATGCAATGTTACTTTTTTTTTAAAGTTGCTTTGTAAGTTACAGTATTGTAACAAAAACTAATTTATTTTAGTTCTCAAATATGCATATTCTTTATGTTGATTTATTAATTAAATTTTTGCTACAGGGTATTTTACAGCATTTATTTATTTATTTATTATTAATTTTTTTTCTTGAATTTTATAATTGAGGGCCATTTTTTATTTCTTGATTCAATTCTTGCTTTTTACAGTATTTAAATATTTGAAGATTAAAAAAAATATATATCATTTCTATTACCGAATTTTTCATTGGAGCCATTTTTACCTACCTGTCATATGGGGCCATTTTTACCGGGGCCATTTTTCTGGGGCCATTTTTTCCGGGGCCATTCTTACCTACATTCGTTATTTGGTCGCATTTGCGACCTGATTTTTTAAGGTGCGACAAGGAATTCAACTTTGTCGCGCTCAGTGCGACAAGGTCATTTGATAGCGCGAGTAGATTTTGTAAGCGGCAGGAAGGTGGTTTCCCTCAAAATCCCAATTATTTACAACTTAACTTGTACAGCCCATTATTTTCAGTCATGAAATCATTCATTTTACATGTACTGTATCAACCAATCAGCATGACCTAGACTGTTAAAGTACATCTAGATGTGTATAAGAGACAGCCATTAATTATTGAAACAAAATCAAAGTTTCAAGAAAACCTAGCAGCTTTTTTATGACTGTTTACTACTTGGAGTGGAGTTGAATAGCTTAGTGCTATCCAAGCGTCCTGGGATCAATTCCTCTTGGTGTTGCAGAATTGTTCTCACTACCGAAACAACTCCACTCCTAAGCCATAATGAGATTTAGTTTGTTTGAAGCATCATGTGTGTATGTTTGTCTTGTCACCTACTCATACAGTAGGACAGTGATATATTCATTATTGGCAATCCTTGGCGCATGTGTGTGTGTGTGTGCGTGCGCCCAAATCACACTGGTCAAACATTTGGCAGAATACTGTAAAACCAGAAACATTAATGTGCAAGAAACTTTTGCGAATTTTGCGAGA